AGAAACCCGAGTTGCCCTTGTTTCAGCACCGTGAATTGTAACAACAGCAAAGGTGTTAAAGCCAGGTAGAGTTAAGGTCAGCTGGATTAAGGCTTCTGCCGGCAAAAGGAAAAATTGGTCGTTGAATGTTTGAAGTATGTAGAATTTGGTCACAAAGCCCCAGAGTGTCCAAAAAAATAAATCCAAGAGAAGCTACGTTAGTGGAGAGTCAAGATATGTGGCCGCAGGAAGATATGTGCCAGAAGCCATATAAGTGCGTTACTTGTATGGCGGCAAGAAAACTTCATGGTCACAGAACAGGAGGCGCTGCATATACTCCATTCCGCAACAGCCAGAGAAAAGTTTGACTCCCACAAAGGGGGAGATGGAAAACCTTCTTAGCATATATATTCTTCAGATTAATCTTAACCGGTTCAAGGCAGCACAAGATTTTTCCATACGGACTGCAAGAGAAAGAAGAGCAGGCATTGAAATCATCTTGGAGCGGAACCGAAATCTTCAAGATACGATGTGGTTTCGAGATAAGAGAGGGAATACGGCAATCTGTTTCTGGAAAGATAGTTACTACGGAACTTTTTTATCGAAGATTAATACCATAGGTTGCAGAATTAAAAAGGTATTTTTGCCAACTTTTATTCTCCATTTTTTTTAATTTAATGTAACTCGACGTAATATTAACATTTACATAATCGTTTTTCATATAAATCCATTATTAACTATCGTAATTTTAAAATATTTTGATATCGGTCAGTATTTGTACAATATTATAAAATACGAGTATATGCTGTATAATTTATTAATAGCTATTTTTATTTAACGATAGTGTATTATTCGACATCTGCAACGGTAATCGATTAAAGTTATTGATTCGTTGGCGGTTCGGTAGCTTTCGAGGCGTGCGAGCTAGCAATTTGGAAAGAGAGGAGGCGAGCGCGGGAAGTACCGGTAGTATCGTTAGAGCTGGCAATCGAGACAGGTGTTGTGCTTTGAAAAGTGTCTGAGTGATATTTGCGTCAGACGTCAGTGGGGTTTCGTGTGCGGGAAACAGGTAGCAGCATAGAAGCATCCAGTTTTGAGCCACCACTTCACCAGTATCAGCGATTATCAACACTTGCCAGCATCATCCAGCGCACGGCAACAGGCGTAGCATCAACTCTTGTATTGAACAGAGGCGTCAGGATAGACGCATTGACACTAACGGTTACGGCTGATCACCGTAACTACAACTCGCGGTAGATGCACCTACCCTAACTGCGATTTTCGTGTTAAATAATACTGCATAGTAGGTAATATACGCGCTGAATTAACCCTTTAAGTACGCTGCACTGAGCGTTAGTTCGCGTCTTATTTGTATTTTCTCTCTCTCTCTCTCTCTCTTTCACTCTCTCCCTCGGTACTTAATCTTTACGCGAGCGAAAGACTTTCGGCCCGTATTAAAGTTATATAGTCAAGCTAATTAAAAGAATTTAGCTTAAATTGCCATTTTATAATCGTTAGCTTCCTGACTAATGCCTAGTGCAATCCCAGTATTTGAATTGATTTAGTCTAGGGAATTGTGAAAAGTAAACATAAGCCTGCTTACATGATACGAGTAACCAGAGTCAACAACCAAGTCACTTAAAGTAAGTTCACTATTGAGTGTTATTTGAAGTTGGAGCGAAGTGATAAATCTAAAGGGGAAGACATGTATACTTATACGTAATTAATAGAGTGGCAGTTAGCTCTGCACCGTGGGATTGTGCACTGCATCATTTTCTCCTTTTGAACGACTAATTTCCCCTGTTATATAGTATTAATAATAATTATGATTATAATATGATATACGTGTTAATATTATATATATACGGGGGATGGTTGCTGGGGGAATACAGCGCCGCCGACTTTGAAGAGGCCACGCTAAGTAAGTAGGTGGCGGGATGCAAGAGGCGCACCCGCCAGGCGTGTCTCAACACGATATACGGCGGGCTGGAGAGTGCCAACGCAGAGGACCCTAGCGATCATCCCTTAAGGCTCATCAATAATGAGAGGATTACCTTGGCAAATTTGTTAAGGACCTTCGACTGCCTGGATGGGGACCCGGAAATGGAGGCCGGCCTCCAAAGAGGACATCACTGAACAGATAAACCTCGATATGTAGGATTAGGAGGAGGGAAGCAGAAGATGGAGCAACCCTAAATTGTGGGTACAGGAGTCAGGTGCCCGGAAGGAGTCCGCAGGATAGCTATCGCTGAGTAACGCATTTAGAGAGATAGAGCAGCTGAAGGCGGGGGTCGATTGCAATCGGAGGTTAGTCGATCGAATCCTCGAGACCCTGTAAACTCTCCAGGATATGCTGATGTGGGCAGAGCGGGAGGCGAAAGATATGCGCCAGAGAATTGGAGAGCTGGAGGACGGAATGCATGGGTTGGTTAACCCAGTCCACATGCACCAGCAAGACTTCATTCAGCCGCGCTCGAGACGCATGTGGACTTCTAGGACACATACACCTGCTACTACGATTCTGGAATTTTAGGAAGCACACCTGCTCCGCCGAGATTCGTCCCTAGAGAAAGGGACGTGATCCCTCCATAAGCCCTCCGAGGAAGTAGAGACGAAGTCAACCAAGAGGATAGGGGAAGATCCGCACCAGAAAGGCAAAGGAGTCGAAGCCAATAGTCTGGCACCGACACGAATATGTTGACAGGGCTCTCCACAACCCGCGATGTAGGCAAGATAGTTCGCGGGTGGAAGTTGAGGTTCGTAGGTAACGGGGCACAGAGCGTCGACATGTTTCTGTCCATGTTAGAGGACCTGCGCGTGGGCGCAGGATCAACCTACGATGAAATGCTGTGTTCAGAATCAGAGATCCTCGAGGGCAACGCAAGGACATGGTACGACAACAAACACCAATGGCTCAGCTACGACGAATTCGCTGCCGACGCTCGAGAATGGTTTGGACTTATTACGCAATAGCAGCAAAAGCTGTTGCAGGAAGCGCAGAACTGGTTTCAGGCCGAAGACGAATTAGTCAGGGACTACGTGTCCAACCTGGTGACCCTCATAAACAAATTAGAGTCATCAATGCCCGTGGAAAGGCTATTGGACCTGCGCATTTTAACCTCTTACCCAATATCCAGATTCAGCTGCGTCGAAGTGAGTTGATGTCGATCCGCGAATTTAATAGAAGGGCGACCGAAGTACAAAAAACGTTGTCATACGATCGACGCCCACGCCTATTCGCGGACCGGAATTCGACAATCTTCCTTCAACACGCGTACCAGCTGAGTCAAAGGATGGCTGGTAATAAGATCCAAACCGCCGCAGTTTCGAGTGAAGGGAAAAGGCGTGGAAGGAAGGAGGGGGATCAGCAATGAGATCATGAGAAAGTGGAGAACCTTGCCAGGAGAGTCCTCCAATTGCGACAAGAAAATGGAGGAGCGACTGGAGGATATAGAGCAAATCTAGCAAATGTGAGACAGCCTTTCGGAACAGCCGATGGCGAGGGAGAAGGGGGAGTCCACCTTCTCCCGGGTCTCCTGGCGAGCGGCGAGAAGGTGGGAGGCGGAAGATTGACTTTACTAAGCCTCTTCAGTTTTCCGCTTGTGGCAAACTGGGATTTAGCCGAATGTTTTGCCTAGATTACAATAAGGGAAATGGCAGAAAGAGAGAGAGAGAGAGAGAGAGCGAAGAAAAGAGGTCGTCTTTGCGTCACCAGTCTCGAACTTTAACCGCGGGTTTTGACAGAGAAGAGTACATTGTTGGCGACCCATGGATTCGAATAGGTCCTAAAAGGGCATCAAGGCAGAGCGGTGGAACAGTTGTAATCCTAAAAGGACTAGGAGGACGTATTCAGATTGTGGAGAAGGGGAACGACGCGATCTATAAGGGGGGTGAGAGACCCGAGGATTCGAAAAGGTCCCACACAGGACGCTACCGTGCCTAAGCAGCCCGCGGATAAGGATAGACCCACCGCCATAGTAGCGTCTCAAAGGAAAAAGTCGCTGAACAGTGCGGCGGCCAGACGAGAAAAGGATGCTCGCGGATATGATCCAGAGGACGAAACCAGATGGTGGTTACGGCTAGATATAGGTGACTTTGAAATCAGAGCACTGTGCGAATGAACGCATCAACACTTTGATATCGTGAGGAACACGAGAGAGAAAGGCAATCTTACTTGATCTGGGGTGGGGAAGCTGTAGCTGCTCTGCTGCCGATGATGGTGCAGATGCTACCTGATGAATCTTGATGCAAATAGATTGGATGTGGCTGCTCTATGCTCGCTTCTCTGTTTGACTACTATCTCTCCACTTGGCTGCTGTTTCTTTAATTGGCAGCTGCTTCTCTACTTGGATACTGCATTTCTACTACTTAGCCTACACTCTGTCACGAATCCACTCATTCCCGGCGCGAGGCTCACGTCATAAAACTCCATCAATAGCTATCGATCTACTGCCTTGCGTAAACCTGTCTAAACGCATAGCTATTTATCTTGTATGCTCTCTCTCTTTCTGTCAACAACTGCTGTTCATTGACACTCTTGGCCTGCTAGTTACGCAGTCTGGCCGCTTCGCTGAAATAAGCCAACATCGAGCATTAACTGAGCACGAAATACAGCTGCTCGGCGTTGGCTCGGTGGTATGGGCTCGTCGAAAAGAGACAGACAGAGCTGGTCGGCAGAGCCAACGACCCCATCACAGTGTATAGAACCAATATTTTAGGGTACGAGTATAATAAAATTCTCATTTTCGCGCTCTCATCATGTATGAACCACCAATTCTAATGAAGAATGTTATCGATTTACCATTTTTTATTATAGTATAGTTTAGAACATGTTTTATTTTGATGTTAACATTTTCATAAGTTTAGTGATTTTATGATTTATTCTGATACAATTTTTCATGTAGAAAAATTTGTGCATTTTTTTCTTGGATAATTTTAGAGAATTTAAGAATGATAATAAAAAAAGTTTATAATAAAATTTTTCCATTACATTTATGTAATAAGTTATTTATATTTTACAGATGACATTGTGGTATAATGCGAAATAAAACAGTATTTTTAGTATTCATTTTACTGATATCTTCAGCTACCATAACGTATTTATTATTATTCCACGAATCTGAACATGTGAAAGGTGATAAGGTTAGTTACAAATTATTTACGTTTTATATATAAGTTCAATTATTTGACATATAAAAGGATGTAGGATAAAACAATATTTTTACATTGTAACGGGGTTGCTACCGTTTAATTAATTTTATCCGCGTAATCGTATTGAAAAGCGCACGTAATTACCTATGTTCAAAACGGAAGTCGGAGAGCAAGAGGGAACGGGTGTCAGTCAACCAACTATCTACAGGAGTGAAATCAATACGGCGTGAATAAGGTTAATATCACAGACGAAAACTCTTTATTACCTCTGAATGTTACATTACATTCGTCCCGTGTGTTTGTTTACATGCCGCGCGCACGACAACAACATGCAGTGTCGGATCGCTCGCCGCTCTTTGTTAGCCGAGATATTACATGCACGCTTTTTGTCGAATCGAGGTATTAGTCGCGTAGCAATTATATCGCGACCGCGAAATTAAGCTTAATTTAATTTATGCTTTCTCCCTTGTATTTAAACTTCATTTTCACAGACGTAAAGATATCTGAATAATTATTGCAAAAATGTGATTTCTGATGAATTTGTTTAACGTAAAAATTAAACTTCTTAATAAATTCGTCATACTTTATATCAGAGTCAGTTTTACTCCGATAATGATACATTTGCTTGGTATTTAACCCTTTGCGGCACACATTTTTGAAACAATAATATAAATATGAAAACGGTTACCCGGTAGGTTTTTGGGGTCACTGATTACGAATCTGAAGTCAGAATTTGAAAATTTTAATTTCCAAGATGGCGGATCCAATATGGCGGATCCATTTTTCAGCTAGATTGAAGTATCCTGAATGGAAGTAGAAAGCCGATATATGACAGACCCATGTGTTTGTTCAGTGTTTTTTTTACACTCGCCATTCCATACTATATTCTGCTATAATTTTTACATTTTTGATAATATTATCACTCTTAGCCGAACCCAGAGACACGAGCGAGGACGTGGTCGTAAGTCTCCATTTTTGTATTTTTGTTTATTTTTTATTTTTTTATTTTTTTTTTATTTTTTTCTTATTTTTTCTTTATTTTATTTTTTTTTTTTTTATTTTTTATTTTTTCATTTTTTATATATTTTATTTTAATTTCTGTTAAAAATTATATTTTATTTAGTTATGATACAAATGAAAGCAGTTTCTTGAAGGTGTTATACACAATGGTACTTCACAAATCTTACATATCCATGATGAACGTTTTTGATCCTTTTTTGTGCTACAATGAGCACAACGCCTCGATTTGTCAATGTAAATGGGTAAATGAGACGATTCACATCGTCTTTTTTCAATTGAAACCTGAGGCTTGGCTGTGGTTGTTACAATTGTTCTCAAACGTTTTCTACCTTTAGAAGTTAGGAATTTACCCTCAACCAGTTGGTCCACTAAAGTCAAGCGAAATTGTTTAGAACTCATGCAAGGTTTGAAATCTTTTTTGCTATATAAAATGAACGAATTAAGAATAGTTGTATCCAAGAGATGCCAAAATATTCGATGCCACCATTTTTTTGATTTTCGGTCAATTGTAAGTTGTAACAGGCTGCCGTTTAACCTGTAATTTTCCCTAGAATATACCTACTCAATAGCTAAACGACGCCTTGTTATCTATGTGCTCGAAGCACATCAACCTACCTTGCCCGGGAGTGCGCCTGCGCAGCGTCTCCTCGCCAATTCGAGTTGGGTTCCCCAACTCGCCACTTGGCGGCTCTGTCGCTCCTGCTTAGTAGCGCTCCTGCGGCTGCTGCTCGAAACTATGTTGACGATTCTCATCTACCGGTATCCGCGTGATCCGTGCTATGCTACCGGCTTATTTGAATCGAAAGTAAATAGAAACGACCTCCGGACAAAGGATAGACAAAATAACGATGACTCGATTAAGAATCTCGGTTAAACGCTTTATTCAAATTAATCAAGTACACGAGGGATTTGCCGAGAGTCTTGCGCACGCTAGCGCGAATGACAATACACGCTGAGGGAGAGAGAGAGAAAATCGCGATCGCCACGAACTAACCGCTCGCGCGCAACAAACAATTTCTCCGCGCACGCTGCGCGGGATCGCACGCCACCGACAATAAAGGGAAAGTCCACCTACCGCGAGATAATTGAGGATACGGTGGCCAACCGTATCCGAAGCACGCGTCGCTAATTAGCCGCTCCGCCACTCGCTGCACGCCGCTGTTATTGCTGTTGTTGTTGTTGCTGCTACGATTGCTGCTGTTGCTGTTGTCGCTGTTGCTGCTGCTGCTGTTGCTGCTGTTGCTGCTGTTGCTGCACTCAGCACACCGCACTAAAGTTCTCGCCTCTGACCTCGCACCACCAAAAGGAAACGCGTTAACGGCTCGGGAAAAAAAGGTTAGCTCGACGCAGACAGACTGAGTGACACAGTCATACTGCCTGTTGAACTCTCCCCTCCCGGTCATTGCCCCTACGCGCCCTCTCTCTCTCGTGAACCGATCGCGGCTTTTCTCGTTCAGCCGCTTATTAACCTCGCGCGAGTCGAACGATTTTCGGTAATCGTTGCAAAGTAGATATTAGTTGATCTGATTTATCAACAAAACCCATGTATTTATTATAGTCTGAACACATTACAGGACAACTAACATTTTTTGACGAGCCATCTTTTTGTTTACGCATGACTGTAGTTACTTCAGAAGGATTATGATAGTTCGATAAAAAATTAACTGGTTTTTTATTCATCCATTTTATCCACCGAACGCCTGTATTCGAGCATTTATATTTAAATTTACCAGGTTCTAAATTCTTGTCAGGTATATCACTCTTAGGTAGTCTTTTTCGATCTTTACGAACTGTCCCGCAAGCAAAAATATTGTCTCGTTTCAGATCAATCATTAATTTAACGCTTGTAAAGTAGTTGTCAAAATATACGTGATGATTATCACCAACAAGTTCTCGTGTAAGTTCTTTTACAACTCGTTGCCCAAGATCTTTTTCAGTACTTTCCTTTTTACCCGTGTATATCTGAAATTCACATATGTAACCCGATTCATCTGCACGAACCCAACATTTGTACCCACGTTTGATTGGTTTTTGAGGCATGTATTGTTTCAAGCTACTGCGGCCTTTGAATTTTATCATTGATTCGTCTATGGATTGGTATTTACTTGGAGTCATATATTTTTTTAAATTTTCATTCAGCTTATCTATCATAGGTCGCAATTTATATAATTTGTCATAATTTGGTTCTGTTCTTTTTGGTTCCTTGCTGTTATCAGTCATGTGAATGTTACCAAGAAAAAATCCGAAACGATTTACGGTCATCAATGAACTTATGTAAGGATCATTCAGTTTAGGGTCAGAAGACCAATAATCACGATACGATGGCATTTTTTTGATTCCCATAAGAATATTAATGCCTAAAAAGATGATCAGTTCATTTTTCGTTATAGGTATTTGTTTTCTATTATTTTGATAAGCATAATTATTTGTTTGTAGAACTATGAGGTCTAAAAGATCTTCTGAAAATAAATACGAAAACAAATCCAATGGAGTTCTAATATCTTCTGGTATATTAGGGCCAAAATTTTTAGTAAAAGGGATGTCGTCCTTCGATCTGGCTTTATTGACCCAGTTTTCTTTACTTTTTGCATCTTTTTCCAATACTTCCACCACTTCATCTTCCACCTCTTCATCTTCAGTTAAAACTTCATCTCCTACTTCCTCATCTTCATCATCTTCTTCCTCTTGTGCATCTTCATCTTCTTCTTCTATCTCATTTTCATTTCGTTCTATATCAGAATTGCATAATCCGTCAATAGATTCCGAATCACTAGGAATAACTGTCACAAGAACCCTACGTGCTCTAGTCATATTTTGATGTGTATCAAATTAATTATAACAGGAAAAATATTACCAAGCAAATACCAAAGATAATGAACATAAAAAATATATTAGCTATATATTTGAAAAACGACTAAATTTTTGTAGCTGCGAAAATGGTAAAATAAAGTACTTTAAAATTTATGAAAAATTTACTTGTAATTTTTATACATGGAAAATTTGGAATTGAAAAAAATTTAAATGAAAAATAGCCCGTTATTTTGAATTGTAAAATTCCAATTTCTGAATTTTGATTTGTGAACAGCAGGTTCTATCACCAAACAACAAATCAACTTACCCCAATTTTAACAAAAAAAATAGATATTTAAAATTGTTTCTGACTTTAGGCACAACATGCAAAACACTCAAATAATAATTTCGTCATAAAAAATGATAAATAATTTTTGAACACACATGGGATAATCAATGTACACCGAAACTTAGAATTAAAAAAATTTACTCTATCTCTCAATTTATATTATTAGGTGTACAAATAAGTTTCCGCGGTTTGTCAAAAGATGGCTCCACCAGAAGGTTATGGAGAAATTGTCAGATGTAAAATGTAATATCCCAAGTTTTGTCATCCGGCAACACCATAACCTTAAAGTACTAGTGATTCCGTATCAGCATCACGTAATTTTTTTCGTGCAAAAATGTCAAATTTTATTCCGAATAAGCATCATTTGCGGGAACTTTTGATTTACTTCTTTAATTTGAAAAAATCTGCAGCTGAGGCGCATCGATTGCTTCTAGAAGCATATGGTGAAGCTGCTTTAAGTGAGAGAAGTTGTCAGGAATGGTTTCAAAAGTTTAAGAACGGTGAGTTTGACGTGAAGGACAAAGAACGCAGTGGAAGGCCGAAAGTGTACAAAGACATGGAATTAGAAGTACTATTGGAGGAAGATTCGTCCCAAACGCAAAAAGAACTTGCACTTACTCTACAAGTGACTCAACAAGCAATTTCACATCGTTTAAAATCGTTAGGAATGATTCAAAAACAAGGAAATTGGGTTCCATATGAACTAAAGCCGAGAGACGTTGAACGCCGATTATGCATGAGTGAAATGCTGCTTGCCAGGAATAAAAAAAAAGAGTTTTTTGCATCGTATAGTCACTGGTGACGAAAAATGGATTCACTACGATAATCCAAA